TTCTGGATCCATTTCTGAGATTGTCCGATAGAGCGTTTGAGGACGAGCACAAAACAAATGCTTTCTCTCTGCTAGTTCTTCTGCCAGCTCACTTTGATGATTATCCATCAAATCCTCATTAACTACCACAATTAGTGGTTTTTTGAGCCGCAATGACTCAAATATGCTCCCTGAACCTGCAAAACCAGATAAAATCTGATTAAATAAAATCGGATTGAGACACCCAACAAAATGTCTTACTAAACATTTGAAGAAAAACTGGTTACATGGACCAAGAAATGGTCACAACCTCTATGGAAAGCATTGGAGATCAGCAGAGAGCCTGCAATAGTTTTTGACGCTGAAATAGATGGACAGAAAGTAAACCTAAATAAATATATCAAACATTCACCAGGATCAAGACACCATCCCCATTAGATTTTTAAACATGAAAAGAAAACAGTCATCGACCTATTACTTTTTCGTCGAAAGTATAAAACAAAGGATGGTTATTTTTTATCACAATTATTATTGCACCAAAAAGTTCAACCACCTAAGTGTTTGACTAGGAGCATGTTTGGCAAGTGAGTATAATTTAATCACTTCTGGTCAAACATATTTTTCATCCAAACATTTCGCAGGACCCACAACTACCCACTTATTATCCTCACATTTCATAGAACCTACAATTTATAATCGCTTAAATTTTAATTTAATCACTTGCCAGTTGCAAACATGAACTAAATTTGATTTGGGTCTTTTATACATTTTCCCTGGTGGTCTTCATTTATAAGAGTTAAGAATTAAGATAGTACTGGCCCCTATAAAGTAGCAAATATACTGTATACAAAGAAAAGAAAGAAAGAACCTTAACCAATTTGCCTTGTGCTTTCCTCCAGCTCATGTCTAACATAAGAATAGCTTAGTACATTTTTCCTAATCATGCACAAATAGATTTTCTCTGACTCAGTCAGGAATAGGCACTCAATATATACAGTATTTATTGGAAACTGGAAAGGTGAAGTAACTTGCTAATGGGAGGGAAGTTGCAAGAAAAGCAAATGGAGAAAATACGGGTGAAGTATGGATGATTGAATTACATAAAATAGGCAAGAAAGGAGAGTTACCTGCATGACTGATAACAAGAGACGCGGATTTCAGGTACTCAGCTATGCTTGAGGAAAATGTGAGATAGTCTACGTCCATGGATCCATCTACTCCAGCAGACTGAAAATCACAAGAATTCTTTAATGACATTATGCTAAGCATCAACGATTTGAAATCAAAGTAGGTGATGCAAACATACTCCTAATCTTCTAATCTAGCAATTTTTCCCTCAACATTACATCTTCTAGTAGACGACACATTCTAAATATTTAGTGGGTGAGCTAACAAAAACACTAAGCCCTGTGTGGTTTCTATTTTCTCAAAATTCATTCCCCCAAATGCATTTTCAACCATACATTTTATGAAACCCACAACTTTTATCAACTTTTCAACCACACATTTCATCACCTTTTATTAAATTCTACTAAAAATCTGATTTTTAACAAAACCAAACAGGGGCTCAATATATTGAGATGTGGATAACTTGTAAATGTATTGTTTGGATCTGCAGAGCGACTGGCCATGAGTTTGACTTCATGTGATGCTGCCTGGGAGATTTTAAACAATTTGGTATATATTACGCTGGCAGTGGATGAGAATAACAATTATATATGAGATGGGAAAAAGTCGGCTTCCTATGCTTCTTGAGAAAGGCAACTTGTAGAAAACACGTAAATTCTATTCTCAAGGTGGTGACTAGATTCCCATCTTCAACCAAGTCCTGTTATTTACACTCATAATTTACTCTTCTTCTATTAAGAAACCATGCAGCGAGAGGTAAGAGGAACCCATAGATGCTAAATGTCACTCATTTAATTTACATGAAGAGGATAGTGGTGATTTGACTGACAAATAAGCATGGTAAAGGCCGTACTATGATCTTGCATGCAAAAACTGAAGCATAAAAAAGTATCCACTTCATGAAACAATCTCTTGCATAGAGAACTATTTTCCTGCCTATTGAATCACAGAAGTCGGAAATTGATTGTGCATTTGAAACTATTAACTTGGTGATACATTTTAAAAATTTTGAAGTCAAAAAACGGACATTAAGGTGGTTATGATAATCAGTTAAGACTATGAATGGTATCTGGGAGTCATACTTTGCAGTTATTTTAGAAGTGTAAGAATGGACACGACCACCTGCATTTCACTGAAATGTAACCTCATATTGAAATTTGCATTTTATCTAACCACATGTTCCTTGCTGCTACCTACTCATAAATACCAAGAAATCATTAATTTCATTTCTATAAACTTATACTTGAAGTCCTAAATTAAGTGGACAGTACTCAAAAGCCAGCCCCTCATATTTATTTTAATTATAGATATCTTCGTTGTCTAGAGACAATTTCAGAGCTATTTTTGGAGCCTGGAATAAAGGCCATATGTTGCTTTTTTCTCCACCCAAGTAGATCAGGATGGGGAATTTGTTGCATTTAAAATCGGAATAGATACCTAACTCGACACCATTCTTCTAAATGCCAGGACCAACAAGTTAATTAACACCAAGTAAACAAACAAGTATCAATTACCTTCGTGGGGATGTAGGTTCCACGTCCCATTTGAATGAGAAGGTGGGTATAGCCTTTCCTAAACAAGGCTTCTTTAACTTCTTGAGTGTCCACTGCTCTGACCAGAGAATCAAAACTTGTTGTTCCAACCGTCACGAAAACCAATCTCTTGGAGTTCGTGCTATGGTCAACCTCACTCATTATACTGTTTAGATTCTCTCCACCTTAATCACTTCAATACATAGAATTGTTGATAAACATACGCAACAAATGCAAAAGAAGGATGCACTTTTCAAGACAAGGACCCTGCATAGGAAAATCAATGACACTGTTAGCTTATAGCCTACTGATAAATCAGTAAATTCTCTATTTTCACGTTTTTGGGTATGCAGAAAAATAGATTCAAATTATTCTTTGAACAAATCATGCTCAGACAGAAAAAAAAAAGTAGAGAACATATAATGAAGAATAGAAATGGACACAAGGAAAATAGAGGAAGGCTGAATTGAAGCACAGGCAAGGCTTGCAGCAAATGCACCGCAAGAAGAATGAAAAATGGAGAGTTTTTCACAATTAACATATTTTTCATCAGGGCTCATATTAGTTATTGAGTGTGGATTGGCTTGAAAGAAAAAGATTGATTTGATCGCGCTCATTTCTGACCAATGCCTCCCTGTGCACTTCTATCTCCCAAGGTTTATTCTTGGTAATAAATTTCTCGACCTTTCATTAACATTAACATTAACATGCACATGATCCTTACACTTCCCTTCCAAATTTCGTTACCCTTAAATTTAAATATATAAATTTTATTTATACATTGAATAGATAAAAGGGAAAAGAAAATTAAAAATTAAACATCCCTACAGCCAGGGGCGGACCTAGGAAAATTTTCCAGTGCAAGCGGTATTAGGAAAAGAAAAAGAACTACTACTTGGCACTTGCAACTTGCAAGTTAAGGTCATAGTGTAAGGCTCACAACGACAATGCAATGCACAACCACATCAGAATAGAGACAAGCAGAAACAAATGCAAGCCTACAAACAGAAAGGGAAAAAGAATCATACTGAAGAGGGACTACACAGTAGGTCTCTTGGGTTTGGCGCTTTTCTTCTTCAGCTCAGACACGCAGAAAATGAGAGGCATTTAGAAACCAGGTGAAAAATTGGAAAAACACCCAACCGGCAACACCCAACAGCCAAACTCCAAAGACCAAACAAACACCCAACACGGCAACACCCAATAGCCAACACCCATGACCCAACAGCCAAATTCAGACGCAGACGGCCAAATTTCAACTCATCCAATACAGGGGCGGTTAATGGTTACTGGTTATTCCTATTTGGCATTTCACAATTTGCATATACTCTACATACTACAGCCAAATCCAATAGCAGATGAAAACCAATAGAAATTATAGAAAACTCACCTACTGGGCGACTGGGCCTGGCTGATGAGTGTTGAAAACTGGACGCCTGGATGCTGGTAGTGGTGGACCGTGGATGCAGGGGCGTCAGGCAGGCGCGCCGTGAGCGGTGGATGCAGCCTGGAGCTTCAAGAATTCACTGTTTGGCAGATGGAAAAACAAATAACCAAACTTTAAAATTTACTGATTGAACCCTATTTTTAAAATTTATTTTTTCTAAACTCATTTTTAATTTGTGGAACATAAGGATCGAACTCGACTAATTTCAACTCGACCCATCAATGACTCGAGCTCGTTTTGAGATGAGTCATAAACATAACCGAGCTCTATTTTTTTTTTTTTTCGATTGGACTCGTGTCAGTAAAATGCCTATATTAATAGTAGGAGAACAAGGAAACTCAACAAGTTCTTCGAGTTTGAATTGAAACTTAAGAATCAACTCTTTGAATTAAGGTTATGAAGAGTTTGTACATCATAATTTTCACATAAAACTAGTTGATTCTATATGGTCAATCAAAATTAATCAATTTGTTTAATTACACAAATCGATTTACTCTGTACGTTTTGCGAAAACCATCGGTCAAGAACTCATTTGCCACAAAAGTGAAAGGCCGGAGATNACCCCATCTGTAAATACACACAGCGTCAGCAGTGACCTCATCCATAACTTAGCCGGCAGTGTACTATAATTTCCGACGCCACACTTTCCCTCTTCTCCTTTTCAAAACCCCAGTCCCCCACACCCTGCAAAAAAGCAAAATCAAATTCCCATTTTCAGATCCCTCATCTCTCTCGATCGAAAACCTAGTTGAATTCGAATTTCCCCCAGGAAAAGGAAAATGCCGAGGGAAATAATTACGTTGCAAGTTGGGCAATGCGGGAACCAGATCGGAATGGAGTTCTGGAAGCAGCTATGCCTCGAACATGGAATTAGCAAAGAAGGCATTCTCGAAGATTTTGCCACTCAGGTTCGAACCTCCCACACTCTCTATGTGTTTGTGTATGATTTTTCCATGATGTAGAGTTGTTTTATGTTTGTAATTGGTGAAGAAATTGGAAATGGAAAAGATATTATAGGGGGATGTTTTGAATTTGATTGGTGATTGTGCAGTGCAAATGTGCTGACATTCAATGCTTACTTTCAGTATGAAGCATGATTATGTTTATGTCTGTGTATACCATTTTTTTTTTTTTTTGTAGAGTTGTTGTTTTATGTTCTTCCTTGGTGGAAAAATATGAAAAGTTTTCAATTTTCGAATTGGTGATAAGGGGTGGAAATTTTCGATACTTAATGCTTTACTTTTTGTATGATTTTTCCTCTTTGATCATGATGGGGGTAGAGGAGAAGGCTTGAACTATTGGGTTGGTGAAGTGCAATAACAAAGTGTGGTAGTTCATGTATCAAAATTTGTACCCATCTTAGTCTGATGAAATGAAATTGCACTGTTAGTTGGTTTTTGTGTGTGTGTTAAATAAGGATTTTGGTAGTTTGACATATTCTGTTTTAGTTATTAGGAGTATTAGTCAGTAAGTGCAAGTTGGAATTGGAGGGGAAAGAAAGCAATATAATAAGGGCACAATTTCAATTATTTTGGAAAGGGAAGCACTGGAGAACTGAGAGAACTGTTTCAAATAAGTTTTTGATTATACAAATGAACCTTTGCTGAGTGATTTGTCCACAGAGTTGGGGGCATGAGATTAGAACTGAAGAAAACGTGCAGTGTTAACTTTGATGAGACGTACTTCTAATGTCATCTCATTCTGACGTTTCATTTCTTGCTGGTGGAGGCAGATCTTATGTATATTTATCAAGGATGTGTTCGTTGAAGATGTATATGCGACAAATACATCAAATATTTGTAAATTTATGCTCATATACATATATGGTAAATTGTGTGCACTGGATACTTATGTCTGGCCCCATAAGCAGAATTGATCTCCATCAGCATTCTTATAAAAATTTCTTACTCTGTGTTAATGCAATGCTTCAAATGCTGCAGGGAGGTGACAGGAAAGATGTTTTTTTCTATCAAGCCGATGATCAACACTATATTCCTCGTGCATTACTGATGGATTTGGAACCCAGAGTGATTAATGGTATACAAAATGGGGAATACAGAAATCTCTACAATCACGAGAATGTATTTATTGCAGATCATGGAGGCGGTGCTGGAAATAACTGGGCAAGTGGATACCACCAGGTCAGTATCTGTTCCTTTTTCATAATTGATGGCAGATATTATATTCAGCCCCCATTTGAGCCCCATTTTGGTAAGAAATGTATTTTGGAATAGTATTTGGAGAACGTGTGGTTAAAAAAAAGGAATTTTTTTTTATTTACGTGTAATATTATTTTATGGGAGAATATGTAGTTGAAAATGAATTTTGAAAAAATGGGGGCTAAACACTGGCTCAGTTTAGAGGTGTCAATCCGGGTGGTCCGGGTCGGGTCGGCCCGCCAACATATGAGCCCGATAACGGCCCGCGTGAAAAAAAGCCCGCTCGCTTCGAGTTCTGGACCGGTTCCGGGTCGGCCACAAATTTTGGACTACAACACAGGCCCGTCCCGCTGACCCATCCGGGTCGAGCCCATATGGGTCACGGGTCGCTCGGGTCTGGGTTTGTTCCGATTTGGCCCGTATTATTGTATAAATAAAATTGTAAAAATATAGAATTTTTCATATTTATAGCAAAAAAAATTTTTTTTGTTAAATGTAAATTAAGAATTTAACAAAATGATAAATTCATATGTATACCAAGAAATATTTACATAGAATTCAAATTTAATATTAAATGAATTATTTATAACTTTGTAAAGTTAAATTTAACTTAAACAAATAACAACTAAATACATTTCTAATTATTATTATCAAATATTTATAATATAAGTACATCCTAACTAGGTTGGCACCTCCCCCCCTTTTTTTTAAATTTTTAAATTTTTTTTTCACGGGCCAGCGGGTTAACCACGCCCGTGAAGGTGCAACCCGCGAAGCCCGCGGGTCACACTTCCTTGACCCGTGAACCGCCCGCTAGGGTCATGGGTCGGCCCGCGGTCCCGGGTCGATCCGGACCGGTTTTCAAGGGTCTGGCCGGCCCGTCCGTCTTGACACCTCTAGCTCAGTTAATGTAACATATTCTTTTTGTATTGTGAAAGTAATATACTCGGACTAATAGTGCAGAGAATATTACTGGATTGCTGGAAAAACCTGTGTGTAAAGTTATATAATGGTATTCAATATATTTAGTGAGTGTTTGTCTCCCATTATTGTAGAAGAAATGGAGTAATGAGTAGTTTTTTTTGGAGAATGTGTGGTTGAAGCATGCTCTACGATCCTAGCTCTGCCCCAGTTTGTAAACATGCTTTTCTGCTTGAAATCCCTACTGTTAATTTTACCCACGCTGGCTTCAAAAGTAATAATTTGGCATTCCATACTTTTCTTGTGAAGTAATATTGGATTTCAATTTCTGCCCGAAACAACTATCTTTTCTCTAATCCAGCAAATTAAAATAAAGTAGGTGTACAAATGTGTCGTATAAGGTAGAAAAACTACAGCAATCTGCCTGAAATTATTTACTGGAAATTATTCAATTTTTACTCGATTGGCTATAGATTATATTTAGTAGACCTGTACTTTGTCGTAATTTATATTTACTAAGATAAGCCTTTACTATCCCTTGCATATTAAATTGGACATAAATCTCTTTCTTTCTTTCTTTCTTTTTCTTTTGTCCCCTTTTTATATTAAATATATGAATTTGGATGTCAACTGACATTGTTATATTACTTCCTTTTGGCCTTGTAATTTTCATCCAATCAGGGTAAGCAATATGAGGAGGATCTAATGGACATGATTGATAGAGAAGCAGATGGAAGTGATAGTCTTGAAGGATTTGTTCTGTGCCATTCAATTGCTGGTGGAACAGGCTCAGGTTTTTCAAATCCTACCATGTTGCTATGCAACTTTTCTATTTAACTTCCAAAATTTGAATCTTCTAAATCATACTGATTTTGATAAGAATTATGGTAATCAATTGTGAAATTGTAAGAAGTTATATGCTTGCCTTCTCAAGTGAGTGAAAAATGGAAATCAACTCGATAATGGCATTTGTGGGATGACTTACAGCAACATATTATTCCTCAGATACCCATGCCACTTTATCTTTAGTATGTTTTTCGTTGACACAATTACTTTCTAGTATTTGACTTATTTGGGCCAATAATCGCTTGCTTTCGCCAGGTATGGGATCATACCTATTGGAGACTCTGAATGATCGCTACAGCAAAAAACTAGTTCAAACATATAGTGTATTTCCTAACCAAAACGAAACAAGTGATGTGGTGGTACAGCCATACAACTCCCTGCTAACGCTCAAGCGACTGACTTTGAATGCTGACTGCGTAGTTGTTCTTGATAATACTGCGCTCAATAGGATTGCTGTTGAACGCCTTCACATCTCTACTCCTACTTTTGCCCAAACAAATTCTTTAGTTTCTACAGTCATGTCAGCAAGCACGACAACTTTGCGTTATCCAGGATACATGAACAATGACTTGGTTGGCCTTCTTGCTTCTCTGATCCCTACACCTCGATGTCATTTTCTAATGACAGGATATACACCACTCACAGTGGAGCGACAAGTAAGCTTTTTATGACTGCTATTTACTGAAAATTTAGCAAGTAAATGTGTTCTGACGTTTCCTGATTTCCCCTTTTTCAGTTCAAATTAGGGCCTTTCGTGTTGTTTATTACGTTTTGGTTGAGTGTTGCAAGAGGAAGGGAATAGTACAACTCTGATGTTAATTACTTTCACTTGCAAACACGATTGGTGCGAATTTACAATTAGAAAAATTCATCACAGTTGTGTATGGTTTGCGTTCTCTCAAGAATGGAACATGTAATACACGTGTTTTGGCTTGAAAAGCTAGTTATGTTTGATGTTTAAAAATGTTTCAATATTAGATTGAATCATTTCAGAAGAGTTGGATCACTTCTAAATGGTTTCTTTTTTGTCTACTTGATCAAATTGTCTTCTGTGCTATGTTGAGAAGTATTGAATATAAGTTGATAGAATTTTTCATCACAAGCTTGCTTTATTTGATTAGTGGAGCTCAATATAGCTTAGGATTCTTTATTTGATGCAGTTCAATTTGACTCTTGGTATATGTGTTAGCACATTGCTTATTTCATGTAGCAATTGAACAAATAGATCTAGGTTTAATTCTCGCATGATAATCTTTCCGTCTAACTCTTTCACGCTTGTGAGAATGCCATTGTCTCTCCTGCTGATCCCCACCCAAGGACATAGCACACATGTTTAGATCTCATTGAGATCAGCCACCATGATTTATCTTATTAAAGCAAAAATAATTAACCGAAATGATTGCTTAACTATGGAAAAGGTACAATGTTCATGGATAATACTTGATATACGTGGATCAAAGTTTTGGTATCAAGTTATCTTATGAATTATGAAACAGGGCATTTTTCTATTGTAAATATTTTCGTATTTGGAAATATGAAGCACACTTTTATTTTTTTGTCAAAGTGTCAAAACAGTCAATACTGTAAGCTAATGCATGGAAACCTTTTCTGCAGGCTAATGTAATTCGCAAAACAACTGTACTAGATGTGATGAGAAGACTTCTTCAGGCAAGAGGAACGCTCTTAAAATTTGTTTTACGTGTATAGGATATATTCTTATGTTGTTTCGCTTTACAGACAAAGAACATCATGGTTTCCTCTGCTCGAACAAAAGAAGCTAGTCAGGCAAAATACATATCAATACTGAACATTATTCAAGGAGAAGTGGATCCTACTCAGGTAATTTGGGATGATGCTCATCCTTCTTAAGAAGTCAGTAATCACGTGTAATTTCAGTTTCAAGAGGTCAGTAATCACATGTAATTTTGGATTTGAGAATTCATTTTGAAAGCACATTTATGGAAAGGATAGAGCAAGTATCTAGAATTTTATGTTTATTATTCAATATAAACTTAGTTTCTGCAACTACAACCGGCTTGTAAATTGTAAATGCCAGCACTTTTCCAAGTATATTAATAAATTTCTTATTTAGTCATGAAACATTCACTTGTACTCAAAATCTTGGTGAGGCGGAAAAGGTGTGCCATCAGTAATCACATGTAATTTTGGATTCGAGAATTCATTTTGAAAGCACATTTATGGAAAGAATAGAGCATTTATCTAGAATTTTATGTTTATTATTCAATATAAACTTAGTTTCTGCAACTACGACCAGATTGTAAATTGTAAATGCCAGCACTTTTCCAAGTATATTAAGAAATTTCTTATTTAGTCACGCAACATTCCCTTGTACTCAAAATCTTGGTGAGGCGGAAAAGGTGTGCCATTAGTGTATTTTTTTTTTTTGGTTCAGTTAGTGCTGTAATGATACTGCTATGATGTTTATTGGGTGGAGGTATGGAGCATTTGTAGATGAACAAGTATCATCCTTTTGACATTTTTTTAAGCTGACTTTGCTAGTGTATGAATGTGCTACTGACTTCACATGCTTAATCCCGTAGAGCATCATAATGTCTTAATTTTGCTTGATATGTTCAAACAATCGAATTAAGCCATAAATGAACTGGTGGTCTTTTATCTCAGAGGTCTGCAACCAATTGTGAAATTTATTAACGATTTCATGTACAAATCCTCTATAACGAGTATATAAAACGACACAAAACTAAAAGAACCACTAAAACATTTTCCGCTAAGGGTTATAATGAGAAATGAGAAACATTAAATTGGATTTTGGGTAGAAATTAAGAGTTTGGGAAGATAGAATATGAACCAAGATGATTGTTTTAGGGTGGAGAGAGTACAGGGATTGATCACCATCTCATACTCTACTACAGCTCAGTATGCTTCTTATCTCCATAATTTCATTTTGTCTTGAATTATTTCGCTTAATGGCTCTTTGCTGAATTTTGATAATGATCTTAGAAACCAAAAGTTGTCTGTTATATCACTTCCGGTGCTCTATTGATTTATTAATATTCGACTTTTGGAAACCAGGTTCATGAGAGTTTACAGAGAATACGTGAAAGAAAGCTTGTTAATTTTATTGAATGGGGCCCTGCCAGCATTCAGGCATGTCTAATCTTCTTTCAGTTGTTAATTTGTATGTATATAACTTATTTCATTTGTTATACACTAAAATCTGTCTTTTCATTTTGATAGGTTGCTTTATCTAGAAAGTCTCCTTATGTTCAGACTGCTCACAGGGTAAGATATCTGCACTTCCTTGGTAATTAGAGCTCATTAAAGCCCTATTTGCATCATTATGTTCGATAAAAGGAATGAGGGCATGATCGGCTTCCTTTGACTGCAACTAGCTAGTTAATTCCTTTCATGACCGTCCTTGTCTGACCCCATAGAGTGGTGTTTTGGATAAAAGGGGGACTGTTGCATCATTTATAATTCTTTCCTTATTTGCTTCTCTGGTACTATCTATTTAGTGCTGTAAAACTGAATAAAATGCATGTTTTTGGAGAGGATTTTAAATGAAAATAGCGGAGCCTGATAAATGCAAAAGTGAGCCAATACGTAGCTGACTATTTTTTCCCTTGTTCAGCTCTTATGGTATACTTTACCTTTTTCATCAAGAATTTTTTAGACAATATGAGTCATCATTTTATATTTCTTTTCTTTCTCATGCATGTGAAGTTACATTTAGATGATGATGGTCTAAATATTATATCAATCAAGTGTAATATATGCCTTTTATATTTGTTAGGTCAGTGGTCTCATGCTAGCAAGTCACACTGGTATCCGCCACTTATTCTCCAAGTGTTTGAGCCAGTATGAGAAGTTGAGGAAGAGACAAGCTTTTCTGGATAATTACAGGAACCATCCAATGTTTGCTGTAAGTCAGTCTGCCTTATGTCATTTCATATGTAGTTTGTTTTGGGACTTTCATTTCGTTCTTCATTTTTTTTTTAATAATTTAAGTCATCCACAATTTCTTCTCAACCTTTCGAGACATTGAAATTGCAGTGTCAAAAAGGTTCTTAATCAACTGATGAAGCTATGTAAAAGTTAAGCAAGTGTTTTGGTAGTTGAAACGGAGAACAAGATTTGCATATTCATATACCTTCCCCTTTGAAAATTATGCTCTATAATTGGTCCTTTTTACTCTTCCTGAAGCAGCAAGCACTGGGCTTTCATTAGGTTTGGGAATTTATCATTTGGTATTCAGTCATTCCAATACCTTGCTGGGTTTAACACCTCAAGACTATTAGTTGTATTATAGAACTTAAATTTCTGCTTGCTTATCTTGTCTCACATTTAATGGTTGTGAAACATGTCCAGGATAATGATCTTTCAGAGTTTGATGAATCTAGAGACATAATTGAGAGTCTTGTAGATGAGTACAAGGCTTGTGAATCCCCAGATTACATCAAATGGGGAATGGAGGTAGCCTGCTGCATGTCTGATATAATTTGTCTGTTATTCCTATTCTTTGTTGCTAATAAGTTTACGTATTTTGGCAGGATCCCAACCTTATGCTATCAGGGGAAGGAAATGCTACCGGAACAGTGGACCCTAAATTGGCTTTGTGAATTAACCAAGGTATGTTGCAATCACTTGAAATTTTTGTTGTTCCTTTGTTAGGTAGTATCTTTAAGCCTGCACGTGCAACAACCACCTAGATTGGCTTAATTTAATAATGATGTATACTTTGATAAAAAACCATGGATAAACAGACATAAAAGTACATGAGGTGCTATGAGTAATTTCAAAGGAAACAATAACGATTGAAATATGAAGATTAAGCGAAGGTTCTTATCAACTTCGACAGACGTAATCTTTTATAATATTGAGACAAAAGTTTACCAACTATTAGAGCTATTAATGGTTGACTTTTCACACTCTTACACTGTATCTGTAATGCTTGAATACAGAATATAACTTTAGTATTTTATATTGATTCTGTTTTCCTACTAATATTACTATCCCTGTGTAAATGAAGGGTGTTATCTATCCTTTATAAAATGCAAAACCTTGAAACAAAAGCACGTGCTGAACTAAAGAAAAATAGTTAACTAGCTATCAGTATGGCAACGTGATGCTCCTGAATCTTAGATACAACATTTTGACGGGACTTTTAAAGAAACTTGTTGAGAAGAAAAACCAAAAGTTCAAAATTCGTACAATAAAATACTATCAAGCCATGAAAGAGGAGAAAAGTTGACCGTTGCCATTGGGGTTTCTTGGTTTTTTTCCTTGATAATTGTAATTGAATAATGTTGGCCGTTTATATATCTCATTTTATAAGCAAAAATACAGTTCGAATGTTAACGGTGCGGATAGTGGGTTTTTGGTTGTTTGTTTCTTCTTGCTAGAAGAAGAAATCTTATGTCCTTCAAATTTTTGTCACAGGGCTCAGTAAAGACGGTAACATAGGGTGTATTCAGATTTGAATCTGTCCTGTTGAACATGGTACGGTGTATGTTATTGTGGCGTGTCATTTGCTTTATCATTAACAAATGAATCCATTTGATGGTGCAAATCTCATTGTGTATATTGATGTTGGCATTTCATCTTTCAAATATATTGTTTTGCTATCTGCAATTTTTGTTTTAGATGTCCTATTAGATCCAAACAAGGAACAAAAATGAATGGAAAAGTAAATCTCTCTCACACACACACATTATGATGATGATGATGCAACTTGGTGGAGCTAATTATCAAAGAAAGAATTGCATCAAAAAAAGAAATTTTTTTTTATCGAGGAATGAGACCCTATGTTGAAAAAAGTTAAAACAACAATAGGATATATCTTTATGATACAGAATTAAGCTGACACCAAGGATGATATCCTCCTAAGTGGAAGGAATCTGGGTAGTGATGGAATGGATGTGTTTAAAATCAACGTTGTAGATTGCTGCCATATAGAAGAGTGTCAAATTTATTGTCAACCATGGTATATATAAATGCTCAATTTATAGCAAAGTTTAATGTTAGCTACTCAATTTTCTTTTGTTGCAATGTGGTTACGGAAGTTTTACCTTTTTTTTTTTTTTTGGTAACTCGTAATTCGTTAATTTTTCAGATCGAGTGTCTCCGGTGAGGTCAACGTGGAGGCCTCTGATGTCATATATTTTGTTAGAAAAGATAATGGATTTTAACTAGGCCTCTTGGCAAAATTTATCAATCATTTATAAATAGTTAGATTTTATTTTAATCATGTAGTTCTATGAATTTACAAGTATTATTTACTTATTATTCATTTCTATCTATTATGAATTCTTCCCAAATAGAGGCAAAGTAACTATCAAGCTGGAATAAAAAGTAAAATCTAGTGATTGAAGAAACAATATAAAGTTTGATTAATGAAATCTATAATACGTTAAATATTACATCAAGTGAAAATTATTTTTTGGACGATTATATTTTTACTATAATTCAATTATTTTAGTAATATCTTACTTTTTATTTTTCAATACGTGTTTAATTTACAAACTGTAATAAATACTATAATTAATTTTCAATTAATTAACGTTAACGCTCATTTAATTAATTACATTCACATCAATGTCATTGTTATTAATTAGAATTTCTACATTCAAGAATGCAGTTTATTAGTCACGTCTATGTATTATAATTAGCATTGAGTTTCTCTTAATTGAAAATTAAATTATATTCATTTAATATAAATAATTTAACGTTCATTGCCACATATATATTTCTTGATATTAATTTTAAACTAATTAACATTCACATTAATTCATATTTATTTATGTATTTAGTTGTGATTCTAATACTCTTGTTTAAGTATGCATTTCATTATTTACATGCATGTATAATAATTAACATTTATTTTCAGATACTTACGTTTCTCTCATATTTTGATCAAAGAGGTAATTGAATGATCAAATATTAATTTTACAGTACTTATAAAGTATTTTAAAATAAAGTACAACACACTTTCAACTATGACTAATGATTTAAATTTAACTATTAGCATGAAATTTCTTTATAATTTAGAAGTAACCGATAAGATGTGGTGTTTATGATGAATTTCCTACTTTATAAGAAACAAGATTTAAAAATAATTTGCTTTTGTTAACTTTCACGTTGATAAATATTTGGATGAATGTTACATAAATTCATTATTTTGTCAAATAATAATTTGTACTAAGAATTATTGAGCATTAGATATAAATTTGGAGTATAAAGTTTCAACACTCACTCAACTTTGCTTATTGTCATGTTATAGTCACTGAACTTTGTTTTTACCATGAATGGTCACTCAATTTACTAGAAATCCACTCCATCCATCACTATGCATAAACCTGTTTCATATGCGTCCCATGTGGCTAGACGGACTCCAACATGGCAAGAGACGGCGTGATAATGTTGCCACGTGAAGACTTGTATTCCTAAAAAAACAACGATTTTACCATAAAAATGAAACACACCTTCAAATCAACGAGCCCCAGTCTCCCAAAATCAGATTCACTCTCACACAAACCTCAACTGAAAAGAACCCTAAAAATCAATTTGGGAAAATTGCTTCTCTTCAAGTCTGCAAAATCAACGAAGGAGGAAATCAGTGACAAAAATCAGTAAAGCCCAAGCACGTCTGAAGGGGTGTCGATTAACACACATGGATGGAGCAGATGGAGGTAAATCATTCGGCATATTCGATTTACAATGATTTCAATGATTTTACCCCAAATCATATATAAAACATTAAACCATCTGAATCTTATTTCAAATTACGAGTAAGCCACAAAAAGGTTTACAAAGTGCAATGTTTGGTATACGTGGTTGAGGAACAAAAATTAGTAAGTGGGTGGAATGTAGTGATTGGCTGCCTTTATCACTAAGTTAGAATAATAATTTTGTCAATTTCCACTGTAAGAAAATGTTAGCTTTGAAAATGGCGAGCATTGCTACTCTTAGAGAAGAGGACGGCAATATTCCATTGGCTTATTGAAATGTGGGTATGTGTCGCTGTTAACAAGAATGAGTTTCTAAAATGTATAATTAGTTTATCGAATTTACATTTCACACAATCTCATGCCATAATTCATATCTCACACATTTAATAAATCATTCCATCATTTTGATTTGTTGACAGATTACGAAGAAGACCCTGATTTTGTACATTCTGAGGTCGATATGGGTTATGAGGAAGATGATTTGTTGTATGACCACAATGTAACATATTGGAATCAAAATTGGATCGAACATGAATGAAGCGGAAAATGAAGTAATAATGCTTGTAGGGGAGATGGGAGACGATGATTTGACGTTTCCATTCTGATGAGTTATTATTGAATTGTTCATCGAACGAAGATGTTGGTTATCACTTTCCAGAATTTTTAGTTGAGACAGATATGAGGAATCCACAGTTAGAGGTCTGAAAACTCTTTCGGTTAATGTAGGAGTTTCAGAATGCAGTGAGAACATACAGTGATCTAAATGGTTATAATGTGAAGTTGAAGTGTAACGATAGAAAGAGAGCTCAAGGAGTTTGCAAACTAGGGGTGTAACTGGAGGATATGGGCCTCGAAGTTGAGTACGACGGAGACAGTGCAAGATGCTATTGATTGTATTTACCCCGTAACATATGCTATTGTACAGAAGGGGAATTATTGTATGGCAGCTTTGATAGTTTTTGTCTGGATGAAGGAATTATTGTGTTGGATAGCCATGTAAATTTGACCGTGGTTTATGTCTGGATAGTCACGATTGCTTTTAAGCTGGAATGTGATGTGAATGTTTGGATGATTTTATATGGTAGCTTTTGATGGTTTTTGTTTGGATGAATTAATTATTTTATGTTAGATAACCATGTAAATTTTCTATCATATGGTGTAATTATAGCCTCATCTTTCATCCAGGTTTCCAATCCTTCTCCATTAAATAAACCAAACAAGAGTTAAATGCATCAACAGAACATACCCATAAGATCATGCAATTATAAATGTTAAAAATCTACGAGAGAAGAAACAAATTGGAAAATTAACTTAAAAATTGAAAAACAACAAAAGTCTTAAAACATATTTATTTGAGCACATGTTTTGAACATACACGATAGGTCTTGACATGAATATTTAGTTTTACAATTATACAAATAAACAAAACTCGATTTCGCAGTACACTGTTCATCATCCTTCCACTCGAAATGATCACAATCTCTAGTACAGCATAAGAACAACTTCCTATATTTGAGCTATTTTTGTCTACCTCCATGCATTTCTCGAAACCTTTGCCACATTTTGGCTGCTGTTTCTTTGTTGGGCAGTCCCACAAATAGTGCCCAAGCTTCCTATAACTATGTCGGTGTTTTTGTTCTTCCCTATCAAAACGCTTCAAAAAGAGGAAATACATACACTGTAATTAGAATCCAAACATGCAATATATACAATTTGAAGCAATAATTGCACGAGATGTTTGATAACATCTCTTTATTCATTTCAGTATCTACTATAATTAGTTTTTTTTTCATTTAACACTATTATTGGCTTCCCAATTTCATATTCTGATTTTACTTCTTCATCCATGAACATTAAAAAATGGCTGCCTTTAATTTATATGGAAATGATTA